GGATCACCTGAGGTCAGGAGTTCGAGACCAGTCTGGCTGACATGGTGAAACCCCGTCTCTACTAAAAATACAAAAATTAGCCAGGCATGGTCGTGTGCAACTGTAATCCCAGCTACTCACGAGGCTGAGGCAAGGAGAATTGCTTAAACCTGGGAGGGAGGCAGAGGTTGCAGTGAGCCAAGATCATGCCATTGCACTCCAGCCTGGACAACAGAGCAAGACTCCCTCTCAAGAAGATAAAATAAAATAATTTGCCTATATGGTCTTGTCATTAGGTGATTGCAGTGCCCCTACCACTGCTGATGCCCAAAAGCCTCTCCCAGAAAAACCACAGACAGACCCTGGGACAAAGACTTTGAAGAATATTTAAAAGTTTTATAAACAGAATTATTCTCACAGCTTCAGCAACAGCAGGGACTCAATTCAACCTCCCAGTTCAGACTAGTTGCTTGGGGTACTTCCTCAGATAACCCAGTGGCTTGATTTGAAGTCAGACCTGAGGTGGCCCCTTCTCTTCCTCCTAGAAGCCATTTCCAAAAGATGTATATGGTAGGAAGCACCACAGGAAAATCAGGGAGGAAAAAGCATGAAGGTAGCAAAAAAAAAAAAAAAATAGGGGTGGGAAGGTAGCAGTGAAGATTGGGGTAGACCCATTATGGGTACTGAAAAGTGTTTGGAAAAAATAATAAAGGATTAATAAATGAGCAAAATCAAAATTGGTCTAGTTTTGAGATGTAGTCCCTCTCTGTCCCCCAGGCTGGAGTGCAGTTGTGCAATCCAGGGTCATTGCAACCTCTGCCTCCTGGGTTTAAGCAATCCCCCTACCTCTGCCTCCTGAGTAGATGGGATTACAGGCATGTACCACCATGCCAGGCTAATTTTTGTATTTTTAGTAGAGACGGGGTTTTACCATATTGGCCAGGCTGGTCTTGAACTCCTGAGCCAAAGTGATCCGCCCACCTTGGCCTCCCAACGTTCTGGGATTATAGATGTGAGCCACTGTGCCTGACTCAAAATTGTTTGTTAATCTGGAAGAGGAAATCGCTTGTGTATTGTTGTCAACAATCCCACTTCCTTCATTCCTGTCCATGTAATGTGCAACGATAACATTTCATATCTATAGGCGATTACATGTTGTTATCATGGCTGAGATATTGTGACTAATATTGACTAATATATTGTGACTAATGATGGCTAATACTATATCTAAAATATTATGAAAAAGTCACAAAGATGGGGAGGAGTGGGCAAGGACAAAATAGGACGAAGAGAGGGTGGGTGCAGTGGCACATGCTTGTAATCCCAGCACTTTGAGTGGCTGAGGCAGGAGGATCATGAGGTCAAGAGATGGAGAACCATCCTGGCCAACATGGTGAAACCCCATCTCTACTAAAAAAACAAAAATTACCTGAGCATGGTGGCGTGCACCTGTAGTCCCAGCAACTCAGAAGGCAGAGGCAGGAGAAGCACTTGGACCTGGGAAGTGGAGGTTGCAGTGAGCCAAGGCCATGCCACTGCATTCCAGCCTGGCGACAGAGCCAGACTCCATCTCAAAAAAAGAAAAAAAGTGGGATGAAGAGGATGTCATGGAGTTAGAGTGTTTTGGTTCAAACCTGGCTGATCCGCATCTGCTGCGAGTCTCTGAGAACCTCCAAAGGACTTATGGCTCTATGGAGCATTTGTCCCGGGAGCAGTAGGGGAGCAATGCTGTAATCTGGCTATGCCTGAGCACTGAAGGTACCAATTGTCATCAATACCCATAAACAGTTGCTGTCAGGTACACACAATTACTATCAATACCCACAGACAATCACCATTGATATTCATAGGTAATTGATGTTGCTATCCTATTGCTACCATCACTCAGAAGTCTCTCATCTGGATCCTAGTCTAGATGGCAGGAGCAGGGATGAGGAGATGGAAGGGGAGAACTGGCTGAGAGGGAGATATAGCACCAATCCAGAAACAACTACTTTCTATCGTTCCTGGTCACTCCAGAGTCAAGAAAAAGGCCTAGGGTGGGGCAGGGGAAAGCTGAAGCCTAGCTAGCCTTGCCCTTAGGCCCCTTCCTTCAGGGTGTCCCCTTGATGACTTGGAAAAGTCTGACTTGCAGTCCATGGTTAGCTGATTCTGACTAGCAGAAATTGCCAAGATCTGGGGCTCCTCCTCAAGGATTCTTTGCCAAAGCCAGAAATTATTATCTGTCACCAGAAACCGGCAAAAGGAAAGAAGGGAAGGTGGGGTCCATTACTCCTGATCAATAGGCCTATTACAGGGCCCCACTGGGCCTTAGCTTCTGGTGAGCCAGGGCTACAGCATAATAGCACTGGAAGTGGACCAGGAGCACAGCAACCAGCAAGACACCAGTACACATGCCCACAGTGGCTGTGACAGCAGCAGTGAGCCGGCCCAGAGCAGAGAGGGAGTAGACATCTCCACAGCCTATGGTGGTGAGAGTTATGGCAGTCCACCAGAGACATGTAAAGATGTCTCCAAAGTGGGGCTCACTTTGACCTGAAATGGACATACCCAAGAGCTCCCCACAGAGGAAAAGCAAGCCAAAGAATAAGATTTCAGCCTCCCAAGTTAACAGAAAGGCACACACCTCTTTCCAGGAAGAATGGAGGGTATGAACGAGGACTCTCACGGCCAAGGACTTTTCAAGGAAGCCCGGGAGATGAACCAGCTCCCGGAAAGAATGGCCCCAAGGGTTAGGATAAGATAGGGTTGCCTACACCCTTGTCACCAACCACCAATTCCACCAACACAGTGAACAAACAGAAGATATTAGCTAGATTGAGAGGGCTACACAGGAAGCGCAACTTATCAGCGCAGAAAATGGCCAGGGCAAAGAGCTCAGTTCCAAATCAAAGGGCACAGAGCAGCTCCAGGTATAGCAGGTCAGGGGCAAGACGGTCAACAACACCCACTGCATGTTCCATAGTAGTGAAGGTGCCAGGGAAGTAATCCAGCTGGACCTCCATCTCCTAGAAGAGGATGACCAGGGCACACATGGCAAAGAGTGTGGAGATCAGGGAAAGGCACTGGGGAAAAAGATGCATGTCAGAAATCCCATTTGCCAGCATCCCCACCTCTGTAACCATACTTCCACCCTTCTTGGCTTCCCTTTTTGAGGGATGCCCTCAAATTGTCCTGGTAGTGTTTAGAGTTGAGTCCCCAGCACCATGCCAAGTGTATAGCAATTATGGCAACTTGGGAGGGTCCTTTGAAGGTAGGAGTGTCTAGCATGGTGTCACACACTGTTAATGAGTTACCTTGGCCCCTGAGGAAGACTGAGCTTGGTCAAAAAGCACATACAGTCACGGTTTCCAAATATTCTCCAGTCCCTGGCCTTTGATGGGGTTCAGCAGAAGGCGTTCATCCACGCAGGCATTCTCACAGGCCTCCCAGGACAGAAAGTCCTGGGTATGGGTCTCCTTGCCACTCAGCTCGCACTAGCAGCAAAGTGTCAGGGGTGCTTCCACCAGGCCCCAATAAGGCAACTCCTCCTCTAGGACATCCTTACAAACATTGGCAGGGCAGTGCAGCTGCTGAGTATGGTAGTAGCCCAGCTCAGGATTGCGGTCAAAGAAAAACTCTCAGCTGGGTGTGCCGGCTCAAGCCTGTAATCCTAACACGTTGGGAGGCCGAGGCTGGTGGATCACCTGAGGTCAGGAGTTCCAGACCAGCCTGACCAACATGGTGAAACCCCATCTCTACAAAATACACTAGTGGTAGCATATACCTGTAATCCCAGCTGCTTGGGAGGCTGAGGCAAGAGAATCACTTGAATCTGAGAGATGGAGGTTGCAGTAAGCCGA